GTGTGTGTGTGTGTGTGTGTGTGTGTGTGTGTGTGCATGGTATTTAAGGGCTCTCTCTACATGAGGCCTATCATACATTGTTATACTATAACAGAACTTGACACCTTTTCAACATGTCTAGAATTAGAACTGTATTACTAATACATCACTTTTTTTTTTTTTTTTGCAGCATTGAAATATAGTTTCAATGTTTTGTAGTTATTAGGATATGCCTAATAAATTAGTGAGAGGAAAGCTTGTCTCTGGCTGTGATTCTAGGAGTGATGGATAAGCAGACTGACGTCACCATCCACATGCACCTTGTGCTTGGTCTTCCTGGCAGTCAGTGCTGAGAACGCGGCCTCCCAAATCCTAGATGGAGAGAAAGGCAAGCTGTATTCTAATGGTCTCTGCAGTAAACTTCAGGATGCTTCTGTGAGATGGAGGCCCAAAAGTCTGCATGACACTTCTGCTCGAATCGGAGCATTAATGTCCTGTCACAGGAAACCTCCAAAAGTGCTCTTCTGCCTTTCCAGTGACGCTGCTTGTGGTTGTTGCTGCTGGTGCAAGTTGTGTGCCCAGGCCCTGGCATCAGTGTTGACGTCTAAGAAGCGTGTGCTGTGGCGTTTGCTCAGTGCAGTCCGGTGTGTAGTAGCTAACTCTGTTACTGGGTCTGACGACAGGCTATTTTCATTAAGAAACACCTTGCATCCATTTTTTTGAGTGAGTGGAATTTGTCTGCATGGTCGGTAGGGCATCATAACCAGAACCCATCCCCTTACAGAGCTGGTGAAACAAATGTGACTGTTTACTTGGGGTTTAATGAAATTGCATGAAATTCTGGTTGCATGCCTTTAGATATAAGAGCTTGCTAATGCAGCACTAAGCAGTTATACTGCAAGGAGAAAAGCTGCTGACCCGAACGTCACACCACCGCTCTTCTCACCCGTAATTGCGGCTGTGCCATCGCTATAGATGGTGACACATTTTTTCCATCTTCTGTAACAAAATTGTTCAGAAGTGTGAATAATCGCTCGCCTGATGTCCTTGCGGGGACCTCCTTATGAAAGAGGAAGACTTCCAGTTTTTTTTTCCTTCCCCCGGGTGGCGAACTAACACAATTAATTGAGCTGTATTAGGAATGTCTGTGGATTCTTTCAACTGAAGAGAGAACTGAACACAGGAGCTCAGTTTATCCTAGAGCTGCAAGCGAATGTCATGTCATATGAATTTTTTTCAGTTCTCCTCATCACTGTCATCTGACATCAGAACGTTCTTCAGCTTACTAGCAGCCTCAGTCCCAGTCATAACTTCACACATTGCAATTGCAGTTGATAGAAAGAGATTTTCACCAATTGTATGAGTTTTCTTACTTTTAACAATTTGATTGACCAATATTAAGCTTTCTGTGTTATTTTTTCTGACATTGTTGTGCATTTTAACATTTTACTCCCCAGACGGGAGTATTCCACACCTTTTTGTGAATAAAAAAATATGTTGGTTTGCTAACAAGCTCTGCCTGGTTGTAGTCAGATTTGGCTTTAGCTTGATTTAGATTCCTGAGCTCATTCGCGACGAACGGCGCGCTGTGGTCATCCACTGCTGCTCTCCAAGCCAAACTCCTATATACTTCTCATTTCCTTTTTTTTATTACTAGCCATCATTTGTCATTTGATGTGGATACTGAACTATCCGTGACCAAATGTTTTTGTTCAGATGAGCTGAATGGTTTACCTGCCGCAAGCAGAGAGAGCATTTAATACTTGTGATCCCAATTTAAAACGGGCGGATTTGCAGCATGCATTCGCAACACGGTTTGTATCTAAAGGCAAGTTGTCGCGATTTTTATTAATAGATAATCTAATTTCATATTTTTTTGTGGACACCCTGGCCGTGTTTTACAGACCCCACAATGAGAACCGCTACTGTAGAGGACACATTGGCTCAGTCTACACCTGAGAGTATGTGGAAACGTGGTCATTTACTCAAAGTTCTAAAGCACTTTTAATAAACATTACAGCTTTGTTTGTGTTTTTCTTATCCCTTGTCAGTCAGTGTGCCTCTAGTGTCAGTTATAGGTATTGCGCTTCCTATGTGCTGTTTTCTGCTGCATGCCGCTCTCCAGCTCTTCAGATGCTTCTTCAGGGGTGCTCCTTGTCTGGGGAGCCCATTTCCGCTAAATGTCCGTCTGGGTCATTGTTTAGGTATGACCACGCCAAACCAGCCAAGCAGGAGGAGCTAGAAGCCCCCTCGCTGCCGGCTCCGCTGCCGCCTGCCCCCGCACCGCTCGCCCCTGCCCTCGCTGCCGCACCAGAGCCCAGGCCCAGTGGGATGGGCGGCCCCGCCCAGCCGTCGGCGCGGCCGCACTCCTCAGGGGCCGTGGATTGGGTCCACGCCGCCGAGTTTGTTCCAGGGCAGCCCTACTGTGGGCGAGGTGAGTTTCCTCTGGCCCAGTTTGCTGTATCTGGACGTCCATCCACTGCACTTAATAAATTAAAGGGACAGCAGCAAATAGCTGTGGTGTTCTGTTAAGAAAATGGTACTTTCATCTAAATTAGGAATTGTTGCGGTGCTTGTGAAGTGAAGCTTCCTGCCTGTTTGTCTGCTAACCAGACAGTCGTTTCCCCTGGGTTATGTGGCTGTGTGGCTCTGATTTTAACAGCTTCAACGTGCTTCAGATCCTCAGTGCTTCCTCTGGAGCTTAGCAGTGTAGCCCGGCTCTCCTCCCTGTCTGTCCTGCTGTGTCCCTCGCTGTGCCAGAGATCCCCCATTATGATTTCCATCCCTGCGCATGGCCTTGTCAGGCACACGCTGAATTCACATTACACCATCTGAAAGATGGATGTGGGATTTGGGTGGTGGCCAACGCAGTGACCGCAGAGTGGCCCTCGGCAGGATCCAGCTGTTCCCGTCCCTGCCAGTCGGAGGGGGAGGGCTGTGATCCTGCGGGGTTTTCAGCACTGCCTGGGTGGCTTGCTTTTGTAATCCAGTGACATTGCGTTGGCTAGTCATTTGGTAGGAACTCGAATGGTGGTCATGGGGGATTGGAAGCAGGAGATGATCACAGACAAGTTTGGTACATAGGACATGTGACCAACCCTAATGGGCAGAATAAGCTAATATGAAGTTAAGAAAAGAGCCATTCTTCCCTGACCAGTGATGGCACTGCGATGGTCGTGGAGAATGTGGTGGGAGGGACACGTGTATTTTGTAGGGCTAGCAGAATTGTCACTCACCTTGGATTGACGTCTGTTGTTGTCTGTGGTCTATTCCTCCCTGCCCACCCCCCCAACTCAGCGACCAACCCTACGCTGCCAGAGACGCCCGGCCTCCTCATCGAGGAGGAGTACGAGAAGGAGCGGGCTGAGAAGGAGCTGAAGAAGCAGCTGTGCCCGTATGCCGCAGTGGGCGAGTGCCGCTACGGCCTCAACTGCGCCTATCTCCACGGCGACGTGTGCGACATGTGTGGCCTGCAAGTCCTGCACCCTTTCGACACGGCCCAGCGCTCCCAACACATCAAGGTAAGGTGGGTCTGGTGTGGTGGCTGCCCCCTGGAGGACTGGAGGGGGATAGCATGGACAACTGACAATTAAATGCCTGAAACCTACTAAGATCTCAACCTGCAGGACCAGAGCTAGATGCCCCTGTTCTGCACCCAGGTTTCTCAGTCCTACTCTTGGTGCCCCACTGAACACAGGGCTCTCAATCCAAAAAAAAATCCTAATCAGTCTTGATTGAACTGCTGGTTGTATTGCTTCTGCAGTTAAAATTGTATTATTGGACACTCTTAAGACAGTGTTTCTCAAACCAGTCCTTGGGACCCCCAGACGGCCCACACTTTTGCTCCCAGGGAATTGGGAGGGAGCAAAAACATGGGCTGCTGGGACTCCCTGAAGACTAGTTTGAGAAACGTTGTTTTAATGTGTCATCTGTTCAGTTCAGATAAAAACAATGTAAATGGTATTTTGTTCTGTTTTATTTAGTAAATGTTTGCATAATGCAGAAATGTCTTTTATTGGCACAAATTAACCTGTTGCAGTTCTGATATTATCATCATTAAGTGAAAAATACACAGTCCTAACCCACAAGCCTGAAGATGGTGGAGGCTGCTCTCCAACATTGCATAATTTTACCATAATGGAAAAAAATATAAGACCTCAGTAGTGTTTGTTGTTGGCTCATCATTTCAGTTTGTCAGTGGTTCAGCGAAGTTTAAGGAGGTAGGAGGTGGGAGGTGGGGGGGGGAATCAATCAAGATCTGAGCTGAGAGACTGAGCTCAGCTTGTGCTTAAGCAGCATCGGCACTATGCTGCCTTCAATTTGGACTGTTTGTTTTTCTACTGCAATCACTTTTCTTACATGTGAATCTTACTAATTAAACAGTGTCTGCTGGTTAGTTACGTCAGTATCAAATGTCAATGTTCTTGGCTGGATTGTGTGTGTTCTTGCTCAGGTGGAAGTTGGTTATGTTAATTAACTCTGCAAATATTTGCTTGGCTGAAGCATTTATGCAGATTGACTTTATGGCTTAATAACCTGTTTATAGAGCTGAATGATACTGGTTCAGTGTGTATTGTTCTCTTTCAGATTTTCAATAGATGCTTCCTGGGATGTTGAATAACTTCATTTCTATAGTTACTCCAGGGCTACAACCTCAGCTGTTGTATGATCTTTGAGTCTAAACTTCTGTTATGGAGCGTTAGTCTTGTAACATGTCCCGGTCGCCTACCCAGGCATGCATCGAGGCCCACGAGAAGGACATGGAGATCTCCTTCGCCATCCAGCGCAGCAAGGACATGATGTGTGGCGTTTGCATGGAGGTGGTGTTCGAGAAGGCCAACCCCAGCGACCGCCGATTTGGTATCCTGTCCAACTGCTCGCACTGCTACTGTCTGAAGTGCATCCGCAAGTGGAGGAGCGCCAAGCAATTCGAGAGCAAAATCATCAAGTGAGGAACTGGGCTGTCGTGCTCCCTCGCTAGGGCACGCACACGCAGATCTGCATCAGGGCTGCTCAGTCCGCCTAGGGCGCCAGCTTGCCAGCCAGTTTCACTTTGCCGGCGCTGATGCTGTCCTGGGGCACTGCATTGGCTAGGACCGGCTCTGATCTGGACAGCACGCTGACATTGTTGGTCCTCTAGTTATTGCGCTTGTGTACATATAGGTGAAGGGCCACGCTTTGACCAATGGGATCGCTTTGTATAACACATGTCCCTCCCTCTTCCCAGGTCATGTCCTGAATGTCGAATCACATCCAATTTTGTCATCCCAAGCGAGTATTGGGTGGAGGACAAGGAGGAGAAGCAGAAGCTCATCCAGAAGTACAAGGACGGCATGGGGTACTGACGCACATCAGTTCCGCTGCGTATTCTCTACATCCTTATTCCCTCTCTGTCGGTTTTTCTTTCAATTCCTGTAATATAAATTATCCATGAAGCCACAAGCTGGGTTGTGGCAGATTGGGATCGCGTGTCGTATTGCAGAGGTGGTCTTTGTTCAGCTGTAATCCTGTGTGGATGGGCGTGTTCCTGTAGCCAGTCATGGGCACTGCAGAGCAGGAGAGCAGCAGGGTGGATGTGGTTTAGTGATTTAAAAGCATACATTGGATACCCAGATACCACGAGACGTTTGTCTTATGTTTCTGTGGAGATACAAATGCTACCCCATGAAAATATCTGTTGAAAGATTAATGCCGTTTGCTTTTAAGTATTTAAAACATTGTTAAACTAGCAGAACACATCATAATTTTCCCTCATACTGGTTTGAGAAATATTTCTACATAACAAATCAGCAACCCTTGCCCTGTCCTGTTTGTCTGGTCTTTAAGGTATGAATTTGTCATCTTGTCACTGGAATGTCTGATTTATGCTGTGTGAACGAAGGTCACCATGAGTAAATCTGCAACCAAAATGGTACACAGGCATATAGGGCACAAACACCAGGCCGTCTCTTATCTGTGAAGCCATGTTCCAGTCCAACCCGGTTTGCTGTCATTCTTACAGCAGCAAACCCTGCCGGTATTTCGACGAGGGCCGAGGTTCCTGTCCGTTTGGGGCGAACTGCTTCTACAAGCATGCCTACCCTGACGGGCGTCTAGAAGAGGCCCACCCACAACGACGGCAGGCGGGGTCTTCGGGGCGGCCCCGGGTAGGCCCCGCCGCGCTCACTTCCCTACCTTCCTCTGTAGCCTCCTATCCCGAAGTTGTATCCCCTTTTCACTGAAGCTGTGTCTGAGGCCTATGTAAATGCTGCTGCTTCAGCGAAGTAGGCTATTTGCATCTATATTATTTGTATACAGTTTATTACCCCATAACCAGGATAAATAACCAAATGGATGAAGTTGTATGTCATTTATATTTTTAGCACTGGTATTTTGTCATATATTTGTTTTATTGCTCGCAGTTATTGGTGTTCTGTGAAATGCCTTTACAGTTTTTCTGATGTTTGCCAACTGCCTCGGCTGTGATGCCAGGAATTGTAAGGGGATTAAATTTGGTTTCACCCCCCCCCCATGCCATCCGCTCCCTAGAGTTCTAGAAGGACGCCGCTCTGGGACCTGCTGGACGAGCGTGAGAGCGGCGACTCCTTTGAGAACGAGGAGGAGGAGATGGTGACCTTCGAGCTAAGCGAGATGCTGCTGATGCTCCTGGCCGCCGGGACCGACGACGACGCCTCCGACTCAGAGGACGAGTGGGACTTGTTTCACGAAGAGCTGGACGACTACTATGAGGTTTACCTATAGCACTCCCCCCCCCCCCGCCAAGACCACACCCTGCCCCCACCTATACTAGACCCATTATGGACTGTCTTGTGTGAGTGTTGGACAGTAGCTTCTTTCCTTGTGTTGTGGCAGTGCCTTTTAGCTGGCCATTTAACAAATGAAATGAAAAGAAAAAAGTATTTAAAAAAAAAAAAGAAAAGATCAATAAGATTAAACGAGATAAGATCGTCGACCCGTGCTGAATCATTTTCTAGAACTGTCCATCTGTACGTCTGTTATGTCCGGATTATTTAAAGACCTGCAACAAAAGAGAAAACATGGGGAAAACCATGGAATGGTACCGTAAATAAACTTTGTCGAGTTTATTCTCTGGCGTGGGTTTGACTCGCATGTCATCTAGCCAGGTGTCTTTGAAAACGGTCTGCTGACGATGGTTAAACGGAAACACGCACCGGTGAAGACTTTAAGTCCTCCTCTGTTTAATGCACTGAATTTGTTCTGGGTAGTTATTCTCCACACGCACAGATGCACTCTGAAGTTCCTGTGAACACCTCACATCCTCTTTCCCCAGGTGTGAAATGTTGCTGATTTAATTTTTTTTTAATTCTTCTTTTTTTATTTTTTAAACATGTACAGGAGCATATTTTTCTGGCCTTTGTGAATAGCAATGCCGCTAGGAAGTCCTGGTACCTGAGAGCAGAATCCACTGCAGGACCAAATTGTTACATTATCATGTTTTGCACTCAAACCTCAAATGCAGTAATTAAATATCTCAGTGTTTATCAAAATGTTCTATACATTGTCACAATGAATATTGCATATTCAAGCTTGCTTGGGGAAGCCAAGCCACAAAGCCCTGATTGTTAATTCGTCCTTGTTTAACCTTTTGGATTACACATATTTATGTTTAAATATGTTTGTTTGCTATGATACAAAACCATTCAACATTACTTGATTATTAAAGTTTATTATCAAAGAACTGCAGGGCTTTCCAGCTTCCTTTTCTTTACATATTCAGAAGGCTTTCAAGTGCATCTATGGCTTTGGCATATGCCAGTGACTGAAGACCCCCCGCCTCCCCCCAGGGTTTCTATGCTGGTTTCTCTATAGTAATGATGCTGTAACATAAAATTGGGTACATCTTCATATTTAACAAAGCCCCCACTCCAATATGTACTGATTTGCAAGATGGATCTTTCCTGTTCCCTCTGCAATGGTTCCAAGTTGCAGATATGTTTACATTTCATGAAGGGACTGAACAACCTATGGATTCTGACTGAGCTGATCAACCCATTAGGAGATCTAGGCAGCCATCTAGGGCATCGTCGTCTTGGGGGGTCTCACACTTAAATGTATTGCACTTTGTCTCGAATGGGGAGTACCACATGGGCTTTGACTGGTGCTAGGTTGTGATTTCAACAGGTCAGTAGTGCTGTCTGTACTCTGGATCATGGGATACTGACATATTGCCCATCTGGGTGGGTGTCCTTGGGTCTACAGGCCCTACAGGCCTAAGATAATCAGAAAGTGATGTAGGATTTCATAAAATTCCTCGCACTTTGTTCACTATCGGGAAAATGTAAAAGTGCTGAGAGTGATTCTGCTTTTTCCCCCAAGCAAATCTCTATCTGCGGTAGTACTAACAGATTTGTGGCACCATTTGTTTCTCATACCGTATGGTACTTGTCGCCTGCGGCTGAAGTTCATGTGGGATGTAAATTGGAATATTTCTGACTAATCTCTAGCGTAACCCTTCCTTGTCCTGCTTTCTTTTTAATGGCCATTTCATCGTATTTTCCCTTGGCAATTGGTGCTCTCAATCTAAGCCATCACCTGGTTAAATTAAGAATAAGCCAATCAAATAACCCCTAACCCCTGGACGGCTTGGTTTTAATGAAAACCATTTACGTTAAGGCAACCTTTCAGAATGTGTAAACATAATAGGCTTATTTTGTATATAAGAGTTGTGCACTATATTCAGAAATCCTTGTACTTAAACCAGTTTCATTCTCATTAGTGCCAAATGTTTTCCTGTCCTTATTTCCACTTAATCCAATGATTCCTTAAAACCATGCAGTTCCAGATTATCAAATTTGGTATACTGTGGTGTGGGATATCAGGTCCACGTGTTATAATGTATATTCGGCACAACACGCACGCAAGTTGAAACGGATTTTCATTCACATTTTGCTGCCCATGTTAGTCTTCTCTAATATCTACATTATTCTAACGAAATCGATGAACCACCGTCCGATGAAATAAGGTAAGTAATATGAATAAAATGTTCAAATTGATCGATGCAAAGTAACGATGGTAAAATCAACGCTGCTCCATTCCAATGAATATGAAAATTCCACACCGGGGTTTCACTCATCCTTTCCTCTTCACTTTAAAAGATCCGTCTGTATTGGGAAAAATCGAGCAAGGAGGAGAGAGCACATATACAATGACTGCAGCCTTTGCACAAGAAGACTCCGAAGCTGACTATTCCCAGCTGGAAGCGGTGAGCGGTTTGGAGTCGCCCGTCTCCTCTTCCTCGCGAAACGAAAATCTGCTCCTTAAAAATACCTCATCCGGGAGACAGACACAGACGTCCACCGGCAGCCTCAACCTAGAGGAAAGCATCACCAAGCCCCTGGTCTCCTCTGCAGCCGCCACCGCTGCATACATCATGACATCTGGAGAATTCATGCAGAGCGCTCCCCTGTTCGTGCGGAGATCCAGGCGCAACCTCCTCTATAAGATCCTCTGCTTCCTCGTCCTCGTTTTCCAGGGCGGTATTCTGGATTTCTACCTGATCGTGTTCACCGATCTCTACTGGTCCTCATGGGTAGCCACCGACTTGGTTGTGATAACAGGGTGGGGGATTTTCTTCATAAAGAACGCCAGGAGCAAACGCGAGCGGGCTTGTGGATTCCACCAGAAGACCTCCATCTTCGGATGCAACCTCGGGGAATTCACCTTCGCGTATTTAGCGTGGCTTATCTATGTTATCGCATGCACTCCGAAAGTGGTGCTCATACTGGAGACGTCCATTCTGGATCTGATTCAGCTAAAAGTGCTGCTCGGGATCACAGGCTTTAAAATAATAATGATGCTATCCGTACCATTACTCTACTGCCTGATAAATTCAATCATTGAGGACGTGAACGGGGCGAGTCGATACTATTCACAAAGTTGCTTCATGGTCACCTGCTTGGACCTGCTGGACAGCTTCACGCTGATAGAAATGCTACTGAGGAACGAGATCCCCACCAACTACCTGAAGTACACGGTCATTTCTGTTTACTTCATCGCGCTGGGTGTCCCGGTCTTGTGGCTTTACGAGCTGACCTCCTCGCAAATGAACTGCAGGTGGATTTGGACCAAGTTCCTCACTGGCCTCTTGGTCAACGTGCCGTTGCTTGTGGTGAGGTGCCTGCTCATGTATGTTCACAGGATGCCAGTGTCGGTGTTCATGTTTAAAAACGTGTTCATCCTAGCTTGTAAGTGCCTGGAGTTGTTGGAGCAATGCTGTATGCTGAAGGGAGTTAGGAAATTGACCGGCGACAACCCGGCCCAGGTATCACATTGTGTCTCGGAGAATGACATGTGTCCTCATGGTTATGTCAACACGCTGGCGGTCAACACGCAATCGTAAAAGGTTAGATCGCAAAACCTAGATTTTCGTTTTGGGGACCAAGTGCTGATAGTATGACCGACAGCGACTATCTGCAACACATTCTCAGCAGGTGCTAAAATCAAACACGACAGTATATCATTAATCAAGACGTCATACCCACGATTGTGACACACAAAGGAGATTACGATAGTGGGATGTTTTATGGCTGTGAGATAATTGATGTGTTTGTGCTGTTTGTCAGTAATTGCATTGCATGTCTAAGCTACAGTGTGTTGCACTTTAATAGGTGATATTTTCTTGAGGCAAAGTGCAATATAGAAATATACCCGACAATGTATTATTTGTGCACTCATGTGTACACTACTATTTGCTAGCGTAATTTATAATATTACGAATCTATTTCTCAGATAGCACACATATGTTGAAATGACATCGATTCCATATCAGACAACACAAAGAAACAACGCTGATCTTCAATCTTTTACTTTAAATCAACATTGAATCAATTAAGTTTCAACGCTGATAATTTAACACTGACCATAATTCAACGCATTTAACGATGATTCAACGTTGAAATAATAACATGGGTGCTATCTGGGTTAGAATTAAGTTAATTACAAAATTACTTGTTGAGAGTCAAGTGGAAATTTGGTGCACAACACATCAATTAACAATATGTAGGCTATAGGCTAAAACACCACTGTCATTTGTCAATAATAGTATTGTACTACACATTCAAATGCCAACAATGACCTTAATATTTTATGAAGTATACATTAATGAATTTTATTTTGTGCCTCTTCCGATTTAAACAGCGTACGCATTTAATTTGCAGACTGCAAACTTTTTAAAAAGCCTACGGCGCACTGAATGCGTGTGTTTGTTTATTTTAATTTTGTAACGATTTTCCCATGAATGGATTGTTAAAATCATGATTAGTCATTAAATTTACATTTGATATTTCACATTCACTTTGGAATTAAGGCTTTGAAACCTATTGTGGCTGTCAGTCATTGCCTGATTTGGACGCCAACAGGAAATAAGTTAAAACGGATCGCGATTGGCAGTGTGGCGACATCAAACCCATAACCATATGTTTATGCCATGTTATTTTCCAAACAACGGTCAATATTCTTGAACATAAAAGCAAAAAATAAATTAACTGGCAGGGAGAATCCAGTAACTCCTCATTATCTCTGCGGGAGATGCTATGAAGGTGTGAAGTTAGGCATTTCCTTTACCTTACTTAGCAGACTATAATCTGATGAGATATTACAGTGGTCAGGCCTTAACAATGTAGCTTAAATCAGCCCGTAACTTTGTAAGTATTATTGTATAACTAAAGAGTAACAAGTGTACTCTGGGATTATTCTGTAAATCTTCTTGATTAGTTCATTATTCGGAGATCACCCATACATCGATGAATTCTCGATTCACTTTATTCATAGACCTATGACAGGTAGACATCAGATTCTTCTTTCTAAAATGTCGGAATTGTGATTACAAGATGAAAGGTTCAAGTCAAAGGGATTAACTTGAGAAAATGAACGGTACATTTAGGATGATAAGTGTTTAAGATCAAAGATAATATGTAATTTGACCAATGGAGAGCAGAAACGACAGCAAAATCCCTCGACATACATACGAATCTCTGCTTTTCCAAATTACCATGGTCATATTTTATAGCAAAATAAAGTTCTTTATAAGGTATTAAAATTAGAACACAGTCAAACTACGAATTTGAAGCAAAACCGCAACAGCTTTGATCATACTGGTATAACAATGTGAAATATTTTAATCATGCACAACTATACTGTTGATATAATTAAAGTTTTAAGAAAAAATATTGACTAACCTAATAATTCCCCAAAGAAACATAAGAAACGTTTCTCAATTACCTTGGATCAAACATCACTGTATGTGTTTGAGACACTGCAATTCTGCATATTCCTGACTGTAATGAAAGAGAACAGCCCAAATCAAGACAGTGTGTATTAGGTGGTATTTAATAATAATACATGAAGATGTAAAATGTGTTTCTAGTGGTACACAGAGAGTAGTACTGTTAAGGGAGATATTTGATGAGAGGGATTGGAATGGACATTCTGAAAATGTTACTTATATTTTTTACAGTTGAAAGTGTATCTAGTATATTATTGCTGTTATGGTTTGTTAATGTTATTTTTTATATACAGTATATTAAAAAACTAATTTTAGAACTGTTTATGCAATGACAATTTCTCATGACTGGAATGAATTGGGTTCCTCCAATGTACCAAAGTGTTTGGACATCTTTGTACTTTAAAGGAAATCTGACTTACTAAATAGTTGCACCTGGGGAAAATTAGATTTTTTTTAACAGCGTTTAGCTTAAGTTCATTGTAAAGACAAGGGTGTCACTGTCATCTGAACTGCAAATGGATCAAAGTGCTTCACGACCTATTTGCAACACACAAAAATATAGATATATAATGGACTATCAAAATTACAATAAGTGTGTTCTCCTTAAGGTCAATTGGAAAAAAACTGTACAATACAGAAGTATATTTTATGATTTAAAATGTTTTTTTAGACATTTTAATGCATAATATCAAAAACAGAACTGAATTGTATCAAAACAAGAACCAGAATTGCATGTGTTTGGCAGTAATATATATAAATTTATACAAGTATGTACCTTTGTTTACAGTACAGCAAATCACTTGTGTACAAGGAGTGTATATTATTATACCTTAAAGATGATATGATCCAGTATTTTCTTTTTAAAATGTGTATGTATGATGAAATATTAGGCAAATAAAATGTATGTAACAAACCGATAAATAATAATAAATCTATGTAGTAAAAGGTACATATGTGTCCCATGAACATCTGTGGAAGTAGCTTTAATATTATTTGTAGTTGTATTTTAAATATGTATTTTAAGGCACTATAGAGATAAATTAACAGAAAAAGTGCAAAAATAAAACTGATGTTTAGTTATTTTTTCCATATTTTTTGCCCAAATTGTCATGAGATCCCTGTCCTAACTCTGCCCCACTGTTAAGGTAGTCAGAATTTTAGGTTGTGGCATCATCCTCCGTATAGACTGACAGCGTGGTAGTTGAACTCTGGAGGTTTTCACTCTGGAGGGAAGACCTTGAGATGTAACCCAGGTCTGACCCACTATAAGGTCTCTTCTCTCCTTGCTCCTCCAGGTTTTGTGGATTCTTCTCCTCCTTTTCAGGTTTGTAGGAGATACCAGCTTCGCAAAGAACCTGTGGCTCTGAGGGCTGCAGTGGCTGCAGTGGGTGCAGTGGCTCAGAGCCCTTGAGTGAGAGATCACGTAGGGAGAGGAGAGACTCTTCCTCAGTCCCCATTGTGTCTCCATCACCTCTTGGCTCCTCCTGCAAACATGAACTGTGCTCAGCAGATGTCAGCTGTTCATGCCCTGCCTGTTCAGATGTGCAACACAGCTGCCTTCTGAAGACTGAAGAGTAAATGGCAGAATTGATGCTGATTGACGTGTCCCCTCCAGCTGATAAATACATTTGGCACAGCCCTGTGTCAACAGCTGAATAACGTTCATTGACAGAAGGTCTGCTTTCTCTGCAACACATTACCACAGTTGAGGAGATTGTTTCCTGATGATCTTCTGCCACCTCCATCTCGTGATCACAGCAGGGGTCTTCCCTGAACTTCGGAATACACCGAAGGGAATAAGTGTCATATCTGTCTTCCAGTAGAGGGTGCTGTTCTTCTTCATTCTCCATGCACTCCTTCTTAAACCAATCTGTATTCTCGAGTTGGTAGGTTTGGAAGGCCTCAATTGCACCCTTTAGGGCTTCACCAGAAGGACATTGATGATAATCTTTCCCTCTTATGCCCTCAACATGGTTAATCATCCATGGCTCTAACTTCTCCTTGCCCAGGATCCGGAGGTAGAGCTCTTCAAAATGATTCATGAGTTTGTACTTGACGGTGAGTCTGAATGGTGAGGGAACGTCCTTCTCATCACAAATACCCTCAAAGTAAGCTACCACGTATTTGCCCAAGGAGGCGGACCGGAGCAGGTCTGGCATAATGAGGCTGAAAGCAGGGGTCAACATGTCCCCCATGGGTGAATGGCTGTCCTCCCTCAGTGTCACCTGGGGTCCCCCGCACATGGCTCGCCACTTGGCCTGCACGCCGCGGGAGCACAGGACCAGCACCAGCACCTTATTGGGTGCAGTCCCAGTCCTCTCCATCTGGCACTCCAGCCACTGCAGGCGGCCCATTACGCCCAGCTGGGTGGAGTCCAGGAGGTCAAGGACTACCTCTGTGCCACACTTCACCTTGAGGAAGGCGCACAGCTTGAGCACAACATCCTTATAAAGGGGGTGGTCCAGGGAGTAGATGATCAGGACCTTCCTTGGGCTCTCAGTTGTCTGTTTTGGTTCTTTGGCATCATTGTCAGTCTTTGAAGGATCTGTGGAAAGAAGCAGTGAAATCGAGTTCCTCTTTTAAGCTCTTTAACAGCCTAGACAGTCCACTGGACTACAAACATGAAACAGCTCAGCTCTGTTTGTTCTGGTGATTTTCCCAAAAACCTATAGATGTACATTTTACACACTGCACATGGATAAAAAAACATAAAATGCCTGGTTCTCTGTATGGGGTAGTCCCCCTGAACCGGTACTGAAGCAGCAGTAGGGTAGGTGCTTTGTCAAAAACTTATCGATATATATTTGAAAAATTGCGTATGTTAGCACAGGTCATGCATACCGTAAAAAATGATTGACTGAAATGCTGGCATAAGATAAAGATAAAGATAATAAAATAATTTTATATATATTAATATAAATAAAATAATTTATATTCAAACACAAAATTGTGGTAGAACTTGAATTGTCTGTCATGAATTTTATATGTGGTAAATTACAATACTATAGGTCAAGCTGTCAATCCCAATGTAAATAATATTGGTTAGACAGTATCTGTTAAGGATCCTCAAAGATTAAGATGCATTTAGCCTGTCTTTTTATCACTAACCTCCATGATGTTTTTTGCAGTATAAACAGACGATCAAGGCCATGACACAGATGATGGAAACAACCACGGTTCCAAAGGCCAGCAGTTTGTGATGCTCTACACAGGGTGGCGCTGTTGGGTCTGTTCGAGCTGGAAGAAAGTCACAGAGAAACATGAAGCAGTGATTAATCAGGATTCTCAGTCTGAGCGACAGTTTTTCAGCTTAAATCAACCAAAGATTCTGTGTACAAAAAGGCATAAAAAGTACTTAATTAGGTTAATTTACTGTGTGACCTAACTGTAGGACAAAGTTAATTTAAATATGGGAAAATGAATTAAGGAGACATGCATGGCTTTGCATTAACAACATGATTTTGCACACACAACAGATTAAATGTGTTTTTTTTCTTTCAGTAGTGAAAATGAATGGGCTTACAAGGCTATGGAAATATACACACACTGGCCACTCCGTTATGAATATCATTCTAATTCTGGGTAGAATTGGCCTTTCACAATGGCCTGCATTCTTCATGGCATGTATTCAAAAAGGTTCTGTAAACATGGTTTATTAGATGCTGGTCCATGTTTTCAGCTGCACATTCATGATGTGAATCTCCTGTTTCACCACAAAGATTCGCTGTGGGATTCAGATCAACTGAAGTACAGGACATGACTTTTTTGACACTGTGCATTATCCTGCAGGAAGCAGCCATTAGGGCGTGAATTGTGGCTATAGAAGGATGCACAGGGTCAGCAGCACCACTCAGTCAGGCTGTGGCCACGATCAACTGGTATTAGGGTGTGAGCCAAGAACACATTTCCCACATGTAGGGACAGGACAGGCAAGGCAGGCCGTCACCTGGGCCCCCCCAGCTGGGCCAATTAAATACATAGTACAATGCAATGATAAATCTGCTTTATTTGTGCATTCTGTTTTTCACAATTAAGTGAAAATAAAAGAATTGTGTCTATTAAATTCTCTTTGTTGATATTATTGATTTGGACTTCATACTAAAATAATGCTCAGTTATTTTATCATGTGGGCTGGGGTGTGTTGCAGGTCCCCAGGGGGTTTTCTGCCTATGGTCCCCAGAATCGCGTCTGCGCATTATTACACCACCAGCCTGGATTTGGCACAGGCTGGGTGGGTCCATGGATTCAAGCTGTTTGGACCAAATTCAGACCAGCTGATATTTTTTTCAGGCAGAGGGGGCACCACTGGTGCCTTAGCACCTGCCTCTTTTGCCTGGATGACAAGTGCCCCAAATAGCCCCAAATAGCCCCAAATTGCCCCAAATAGCCCCAAATTGCCCCTAAGTGCCACTATTCGATAACTAACTATCAAGCATGATTTACTGAGGCAGACCACTCCCCCAGTCAGAAAAATATACCGAGGGGGATCAGGTCAGCAAAATGCACCCTTAGCCATGTCATGCCCCACCCCCCACTTTGAGCACCTGCCCATAGAAAAGCCTCTGGATGGCACTGCGTTTTTACAATTTGCTGCTGTCCAGTTTTGGTGAACCTGTGCCCACTGTAGCCTCGACTCAGTTTCCACTGCAGTGGATCCTATAGGTGGGTCTTGTAGCCCAATCACCTCAAGGTTCTACATGTGGTGCATTCAGAAATGCTTTTCTGCTTACTACTGTTCTAAAGAGTATTTAGTTGAGTTGCTGTACCCTTCCTGTCAACTCAAACTAGTGTGTCCATTCTCCCCTGACATCTGTCATCAACAAAGAGTTTCTGCCTGCAGAAGGGCTGTTTCTCTGGATGTTTTTCGCTTTCAGCACCATGCTGTATAAATTCTAGCAGTAGCAATGCATGAAAATCCCAGGAGATCAACAGTTTCTGAAATACTCAGATCACCTCATCTAGCACCAACAACCATGCCAAGGTCAAAGCTTAGATCACATTTTGTCCCTATTCTGGTGTTTGATTTGGCCATTAACTGAAGCTCTTGACTTACGTCTGCAGATTTTTTTGCACTGTTCTGCTGCCACATGATTGACTGGGTTATATATTTGTATGGATGTGAAGATGTACAAGTGTCACTAAGAAAATGGCCAGTGAGTGTATATTGATATAATACATTATTATCTTTCCAAAAAAATGCATTATTAGCAAGGCTTCACTGGACTGCAGAGTTCTCGTAAAGAGAACCCTCCAATCCTAGCTTTTTAAATGCTAATTGGTCATTTACAATTTAAAGCTTTAAACGTTCGGACGATAATGTTACGCAATAGGTTTGGCTCGGCAACTTACCAGAACAAACATCAAACTCCTTCTGTGGTCGAATGCAGTTATTTTTGCAACCAGGAAATAAGGGCTGAATCTGTAAGCGTTCATTTTGAAAATGAAAAAAAAAAAAAATCAAACTGCTGGCACCGTGAACATCAACAGAGCTGATTGTGTGCCATGGTGAATGGAATGAGAACACTTCCTTAATTATGCAGCAGAACTGAAGACACGTAGGTGTAATTAACATTACCTACCGAAACTCTGAACACACAGCAAAGGGCAGGGAATTTCTTAGAGTCAAACAGCACTTTCAGTCTGGTATCATTCCCCTGTGAAAACATGTGACAGACAGTTCAAGAGTTTTCAAAGGCTGCTCATTTGGCAGAGATCACTCATACATGCTTCATATCAGTGGTGATAACCATCATGTGAACCCAATTTGATTCCTAATTCCACCTTAACAAACAGCTTTATGATATAGCAGTGTTCACTTCTGGTGTATTCATAAGGCTTTATTGCCTTTTGTCCCAAATATGGAAAATTTACACACATGTAAAAATATAAAAATATGAAAGTAAAAGCATTTACAGAAATCGTAACACAGAGACTGGCAAAATGAACACGAGGCTACAATCTGTGTCTAATATAATGAAAACAAAACCTGACTGGTTACAGAGGTATTACCAATTTTACTTTGTAATCCAAGCATAATTTGTCTTTAATAGTGGAAATGTTGGTACCTGCAGAAAATCCCAGTGCGTGATATTGCACTTCACAAACACCCTGTACCTTTCTGCATACTCCCAGCGGCTGAAATTCACCATAATTGTACTGCTTCCATTCACCAGTGCCATCATCAGCTTAATGTTTGGCTTCCAACTGGTTCCTAAAACACCACAATGAGGTCAGGGCACTTAATGAACAGTGAAAAAAAGGGCGGCCTGACTGCCCTGATTTTCATACACGGAGCTGGGACATTTACTCAAAGCACTTGATTGTGCTGACATGACAAAACACACATCCGGAACAAGAGAGTCTTCTAAGGTGCGGACGTGCCAGCTTTGTTTAGCTGGCTGGAGTGAGATTTTCAATTCGAGACAAGTCTGTACTCACATATACATGCATTTACATGTATGTAACAGTTTTATTGCCTTGTAAATAGTCTGTAGGGTTTGCAAACTACAGCAATACATTAGATGTAGCTAATTTTAAGTTTATTACTGTAAAATGTACACTATATTGCCAAAAGTATTGGGACACCTGCCTTTACACACCCATGAAATTTAATGACATCCCATTCTTCATACATAGGCTTTAATATAGAGTTGGCTCACCCTTTGCAGCTATAACAGCTCCAACTCTTCTGGGAAGGCTGTTCACATGGTTTAGTAGTGTGTTTATGGGAATTTTTGACCATTCGTCCAGGAGAGCATTTGTAAGGTCAGGCACTGATGTTAGATGAGAAGGTCTGGCTCGCAGTATCTGCTCTAATTCTTCCCAAAGGTGTTGTATTGGGTTGAGGTCAGGGCTCTGTGCAGGCCAGTCAAGTTTTTCCACACTGCACATTTCCTTATGGACCTTGCTTTATACACTGGTGCTCAGTCATGTTGGAACAGGAAGGGGCCATCCCCAAACTGTTCCCATAAAGTTGGGAGCATGAAATTGTCCAAAATGGCTTCGAATGCTGCAGCATTAAGAGTTCCTTTCACTGGAACTAAGGGGCCAAGCTCAACCCCTGAAAAACAACCCCACACCACAATCCCCCCTCCACAAAACTTTACACTTGGCACAATGCAGTCAGGCAAGTACCAGTGTCTTGGCAACTGCCAAACCCAGACTTGTCCATCGGATTGCCAGACAGACAAGCATGATTCATCACTCCAGAGAACACGTCTCCACTGCCACAGAGTCCAGTGCTGGAGTGCTTTACACCACTGCATCTGACACTTCGCATTGCACTTGGTGATGTAAGGCTTGGATGTGGCTGCTTGGCCATGGAAACCCATTCCATGAAGTTCTCCACGCACTGTTCTTGAGCTAATCTGAAGGCCACATGAAGTTTGGAGGTCTGTAGCTATTGACTCTGCAGAAAGTTGGCGACTTCTGCACATTGTGCACCTCAGCATGCGTTGTCCCTGCTCTGTGATTTTACATGGCCTACCAGTTCATGGCTGAGCTCCTGAGAGCGACCCATTCTTTCACAATTGTTTGTAGAAGCAGTCTGCATGCCTAGATGCTTGATTTTATACACCTGTGGCTATGGAAGTGATTAGAACATCTGAATTCAATGATTTGGAGGGGTGTCCCAATACCTTTGGCAATATAGTATAGATTTGCCATAAGATTTCTTGTGTGAGCGTGAGAGTCTAAAAGCACGAGTGTCACGCCAAAAGCACGAGAGCTGGCAACCATGAAAGTGTGAATCTCTAAAGCTCCATTAAAAAAAGAATATATTTCAAATTGGTTTTGTTCCAGGACAAACTGGAATTCTAACTGGATTCAGGTTCAAATGTGGTTGAGAGAACCGGTCAGTCCTGCAGTGGAGACTGAATGGATGGACTCAGGGGGACCAGCGCTGAAGGACGTGGAAGATCTCACCGCTTTCTAGGCACGCTTTCGTCTCCAGCATCATGCCGTCCTGGCATCCTGTCAGAAGGACTGGTGGTCAATACAGTGCAGCAACAGCAGCTGCTCCTCAATGCACCATAAAAAGACAGAATTTTGCATTCTCCACCACCACAGAATTCTATTGATTTGCAGTCACACTTATAATGATGTAAGTGTATTTAAAGTAAAGATTTTGAGCTTCCAATAGAGCATTCAGGGAATTTGAATGAAACTTGCGTATTTCACAGTATTTTTCATTCTTACCTGGTATGACAATATTTTTGTAGATGTTGCTGCCTTGACCTATACTTGGCCTTGGCAAGTTAGACACAACAACATAATATTCTTCATCAGGCTCTACCACCACTCCATCCAGAGAAAATAACCACTAATAGAAAAACACCACATGCAAACGACACCATAAGTAACACAAATACAGATGAAATATAATAGTATCATTTATTTGAAACACTTTGCGAAACTTCCAATGTATAAACTCCAGTATAGAAATGCTGTCACTTCAGCTCAAAACCTCAGTTTGCTGGACATACGTAGAAATATGCATAGCAGATGCTAATGTTAAGCTTGGAATGTTACTGATTTGTAGATAATGCTAATTCTACTAATATTGTTTCAAAAATAAAGGATAGGGTTACATTCAAATCCATTCAGTGTTTTCTGGAGTCTCCAGGCGAAAAGTTTCAGAAGTATTGCCTTAAATATAAAATCTTTTTGTTCCTGTATAGCTACACAATATATATTATATATCAAAATATATCTGAGAATGTCAATCATGTTACTCATTGTACCTGTTTATTTGCGGGCGTAATTTCATCCAGGAAGTTGTAACGAACACAAAGGTTCCTGTTGGTTGATACCTTCAGCATTTTAACTTCTGCACCTCGGAGGTGTTTCATGCTTCCTGAATGGCAGGAAATCACACATTAGTCACAGGAGTCATGCAAACTTATGAGACAGCCCCATTAAACCACTGCAAATGGAACAAGCTGCCCAGCGGCTCTTTGGAAGTGTGAACAGGTAGCTTGTATCTGATCAAACTGAGGTTTCCTTTACTAGAGGGGCTTTTTTTGAGGCTGATGTCCCCACAAATTGCACTGATCTGGGAATTAATGAGGGAGTGAACGTCAGCTGCTGCCGTTCATATTAAGGACTGCTGGAGGTCACACACCGTCGAGCTGTGTCCTCCACCTCACCACGACCACTGGCACCAGGTCGCCGTTTCCGTCCTGTCGTACCGCCACCGTGCATTCTAAGTCTTGTGGAGCAGTTGGGGTCATCCTCTGCTTCCTCTTCCAGCCATTTCTGTGACAGTAGTCTTTGGGAGGGAGCACCAGAAAGCTACACACCATGCTGACAGTTTACTAAACATCCACTATCCTTGTTTATATATGGGCTGGGAAGTTCATCGTGTTAATGCTTAAAGTTACTTTGAAAGTCATAATGCATTATTATGTCTTTAATCACATTATCTTTAATTGCGTTTTGATACCTAAATGGATGAATAGTATGAGCAAAAAATTTTTAATAGAAACCTATAATATTCCTTTCTGGTTATAAACATTGTCAGCGTTTAGGTTATGACGCAGCACACAATCACAGAATTTGAGGCTAAAATACAATAAAAATTTCACTGAATATGTACCCAAAAATCAAAGAATAAAAAACTAGATAATATGATTTTAAATATTTTTACTTTATTGCATATAACCCACAATAAACAATCAGTATGTATGATAATGTATTTTTTTGGAATACTTATTGGTCAGTTTTGACTTTTTTCTCCTCTCTGTAACTCCCAAAATACTTTTGTTTATTACAGAAATAAATGGTAATATAACAAAACTGAATAATTACGCCCAGAGGCGAAATTGACAATTTGAAGTGAATCTGTCTTCAAACTAATTTCAAAAATCATATAAAACTGTTACAGTAATGAGTTGTGAGAATGACCCATATACTCCCCTTTGTATTAGTTGTAACATTAATTTTGGGATTCAGTGTGTAAATATTTCTGATTGTAAATGTTAATGTTAGGTGCAATTAATCGCGATTAATCAAAGAAAACTGTGTGATAAATCGTTTTTTTATTGAGTAGTAACCTTTGGTTGGAGACTTATCATGATACAGGTACCTGTTCATGCGTACTGTATCATAGTGCCGATTAATGCAGAGCGGAAGCCCCCCGATAAATATCCATACGGTATCTAGACTACTGAGAAGTCTATACTTGAAAGAAAAGGTACAGAAAAGGTTTTTGTAACCTACCTATGTCTGCTTCACACCTCAGCCCCTAAAAACGAACGAAAATATAACCAGAATTTATAGGGAAAGCAGTATTTCCGAGTACTTCGGCTATTTCCCTCGGTTAACCTCAACTTTAGCACATCAGTATTTTTCGACCATATTATATACTTCTGTACTTGTAGCTAAACCAAAACAATATCAGGGACAACAGTTGGCTCATTATACCAGATTCTGAATGATTTTTTTTTTACTAATAATAGTTTAAAGTAAATACATTTAATAATATATACATTTTATATATTTAATTCATATACGTTTAATAATGAGCAATAGTTTATCCTAAGCGCAGTCTGAAGCGGGCGATGATAGTATTGAAAAACGAAAAAATATATTTCACATTTGCGGTTGTGCCACAGATGCGATAGGAGATGAGATAACGCTGCGGCATGTTTACAGCTGAGGCACATTCGGGCTCCTAGCTTGGTGGCGCATCGACCGTGACGCCGAGGACCGACTGGGTCACTTAACATGTTTGACGTATTGAAGGCAAACTCCGTCTAAAATGATATGGCTTAATTAAATGGAGTAATCCCTCCAATGCCTAAAGAGCGGCACGTGGAAAGCGCACTTACTTACCGCTTGCGTGCAGTTCAGCGTGTTCAGCACACGGAGACCAGGCAATAGATCTGGACATGCGGAAAGCAAAACACTGATGTACAATAATAAAATCATCTTCTTTTCATATCAAAAAGTTTAATGGTACATGTTCATTGTAAATAACTGGCCCACGGGGGACTTCCCAGTATTGTGGAAGCGACATGAAACATCTGCACAGGCTTCCTGGTGGGTTAAGCAAAAGTACAGGTTGTTGGGGTCACATCCTACTTAACTGGAAACTCAGTGCCTCTCTCTCTCTCTCTCTCTCTCTCTCTCACTCTCTCTCTCGCTCTCTCTCCCCCGCCCCCATAACAAATTTGATGGATCAGGACTTTTCATTTCACACTTACTGCTTCACTGTTTTCTTTTCAATAATTCCAACTTCACAATCAAAAATGCCTGCAAATTCTGTATGTCGACGGCGTAAAGTAAATCAAGAGTTTCTTTCTTAATGTTTTTTTAGTTGGTCTGTTGCCTTGTACTTTATTTTCCTATAGATTTCTGGTCTGAGAAATGTCGACCATACATTAAAAAATAAATATTGATTTAAAAGTCTGTTGCAGTCATACAGGTATGTGTTTATTTTTGATAGTGATTAATAGGTAGGACTTAAAAATTTTCTAGCCAACAATAATGTGACACATCAATACCCACACTTTTGTCTTTTATAACACCAAAGGATTATATAGATTTTGTGTGTGTGTGTCTGTGTGTGTGTCTATATACACACACACACACACACACACACACATATTTGGTTGACCTAAACTTAATAGCAAACGTAACTAAATGTGTGACAAATTTAATCACCTCTGCATGAAAATGACACAACATAGAAAGATACAATGATTACTTTTGACAGTAGTTTTATTATTATTAACTATGGTCCTCTAAAAAAACATATACTGTATAACATATATAGCATTTATTTCAAATTTAAAATGTATGAATAATAATCACAGCATCAGCTGTTTTATGATTGAAATCAAGATGCAACAACGTTCTGTAGTAAAGTAGGCCACACAGTTTCCTGTCAGTTTGACATTTTTTTTAAGACCGATTACATGTCCAAAACACAGCTTCAAAGACACCCAACATCACGTGATTTGGCTGAGACAAGTGTTATGAGACCGACCTAAATAATCATCTTTCTGAACAAGGTCTCAGAGATTCCGGATCCACCTCAGAAACTTGTAATCCAGTAATAAATATGACAATGTCTTTGAACTGCAGATACTCAAACAGGTTTTCAGTGCAACGATAACAGACGACACAGGCTTGAACGTTAACTATTACTATTTCTCGCTGACTCAAGATTCAGGTGTTTACATGGCGAGTGGTTTAAGGTGCGATAAAAATATGAATATATGTAACAGAGACATTGTGCCCATAGAGACTGAGGGGGCACTGTCCCCCGCGATCAGTTTCTTTGGAAGTTTATTGTTTTATTTAATTGTATTGATAATTAATTTGTATCATGCGATTGTGCTGCAAATGCAGTATATCTCATTTTCATGTCATTTGTTAATTGATGTGCCTAGATTAAATGTATGATATTCCATCTCTTCCTATTTGCTACTAGTACGCACTGCAAACATTGACTGCTTTGATTTGAGTTTCTTCCCCTTTGAGACAGACTGTGTGCTGCTGTGCTACCCGACCAGCTGTTTTTACTTGCTGCTGCCTGGACAAAACAGTCAACTGAAGTCAGTCATCTTCTAAAAACCAGACTATTAGGATGTTAGGTTACACCCTCGAGGTACAGATGTAATAAGTAACTGAAACATGTTGATGTGTAACCTAGGCTGAATTACACTGATGTGATTTAAATATCGGCTGGCAGCTGTGAATGAAGGTATAAACTGGCTCGATTCACATTGACGCAGTGCCTTATAAGTCAGCCTGCAAAAATGTATTAACTATCAAGCTATTGAAACAAAATATACTGCAAATCTGTAGTTACTACCCCCCGACCTCATCTCTCTTGTACATATGTGTCGGTCTATATACACATGTATAGGGACATCTGGCTTCTTGGGTGTGTGTTGGTTTATTAAAAATAAACCCCTTTGAAGATTATACTGGCATTCGCTGGTGGTTGTGAACATTGTAGGTACTTGGCCAATGTTCTTAATTATTTTTTTTTAAATTGGATTTTTGAATTCCTTATGCATTATTTTTCTTTTAGGCAAGGCTATATGTGTACCCTCTCGAAAAAAGGGATGCATGATGTCCTTGATGTGTAATATAGCATATACCAGGGCATATGTCATACAGTAATATATATAAGTATGGTGACTGTCACAGCAATGTGAAGTCTATTTATTAATACTTATTAGTACTTCGGCATCCATATTTATGTTGCTCATAATACTTGGGCCTTGTCACTTCATTTTTGCAAATAATTCGATATTTGTAAATATCTGTTTACTTATTTCTTTGTTCTTTGTTTGCTTGCAATAAGTGCAAACCCATCTAATGAAGTAATGTCCATTCTAAACAGAGACTCAATTGACTGTTACACGCATATAAAGTTCAGATATTCTGGGGAAATCCACACAAACATAAGAGACATGCCTATTCCGCCCAGCTGCTTCCTGAAAATAACGGTTTAACTGAAGGAGTTTAATGGTTTGAATGAAGCACTCGATTTAAGTCACTGTGAAGTTTCCACATTCTGGCTGTGCTCTGTTGCGTGCCAAATAATAGCCCTTGGTTAATTAGAAACCAACTAGCAAACTACAGACTTCTGAGTATTAAAGCTACTGAATCAGCAATAAACCACCAAACATTTGCATATATATATATCAAGCTCAGAACTCAATTTATTGCCAGTATGTATGAACATACCAGAACATACCCTGGATCACGGAGTGCATGCACTCATTTTAGCAACAGCATTTAGCCTTTACTGCCTGTCATAGGTCTTTGGACTGCAGGAGGAATACCATGTGATGCAGGGAGAATGCAAACACACACACACACACACACACACACACACACACATGCACGCACACACACACACACACACACGCACGCACACGCATAGCTGGTGTGGGACCTGACCTCTGTTTCTTGAGGTGTGAGGTAACAATGCTACCCATCACAGCTCCATTACTTCAAGATGTTGTTTATACTATTTTGTACTCACTATGGCATCCAGCTATGCCATACTCAAGAATGCTGTGTACTTGAATATGGATAAATCATGAAAATTGTTTTATGATGCCATTTTTGGATGGGATAGTGTAACCAAAGGTTGCTTAAATTATGCCTCAAATGGACTCCAGGTGGCAGTATTCTACTTTGTAAATGTGACCTGTTTAGCAGTGAATCATTGATTCCCATAGGGAGGGGAATGCAGGGTTGAAATTTGGGACGGAGGGCCAACAACCCTGGGCCTAAATTTGGCCAATAGGTGTTATTCCATGAGTTTAGCATGTTTGTGCCTTGTGAAAAAAGGAGGATGCAAACCTTGACAGCTATAAAATTGGACTTGTCAAATAATGCATCCCACCATTAATTTTCTTCTGAGACACTTCAGAATCAAATGACGTTACCAGCGTGTGTTTTCAGCAGTTTTGGCTTATCAGTGTAAACTTCATACACTCATCCTGACTGGAATAAGGCGAATGCAAGTCTTGGCAGTCATAACATTGGGCTTGCTGAGTAATGTATCCCCATGTATTAGTATTATTAGTATTATTAGTATTCATAAACCTTAGGATCAAATGGCACCATTAGCACAAATTTGGGTCTGTTTTGGCTTAGCTATCATCAGCTCTGCAACGTGATATGTCCCCCATTAAAATTTCTTGTAAGACATGTTCATATTAAATTATGTTACATTCATATTTTTGCTCCAAAACACAGGGGATGGGATGCATTACTTGACAGCTATAATCAGCAGTTCATCCACCCCTTCCACTCAGAAAGGACACATCAAATTGAGGCAAGAATCAAACAGCGATTTCTTTTACCAACTTTGACACCAGACATTCACTGTTTCTTCTGAACGCTCTTAAACTATAGACTCTGGACAATTATTGTCAATGAGGAACTCAACAAAAAGCAATACGTTGGCCTTGAAATCAGTTTCCACTTAAGCTGTGCACACCACCGTGAGGTGCATGCAGGACTCAGCATAACACTGGCACACCGTGCTTTGATTAGCATACTATTGACATTTCATAGTTTTTAAGTCTTTCTCGTTTCTCTTTCAGTTCCAAAAATACCTTGAATGACCCCCACCCCCCCCCACACACACACACACACAGACACACCTATGTCAGCCTGGGGGCTCCAGAGAAGTCAATCTGCCCCAGGTGAAATGGTGTTACTTCTCATCAGCACAGCTCTTGTATACATATAAAACACTAAATTAAGTTAATTTGATCCTCATTAAACGGTCATTTGATTCCTACTAAGATTACTAGACGGTGCTATAATGAAAGCAAATTAATAAACCAAAGTACCACAAAGGAAACACTCATCCTTAATTTCAGTATACTATACTGTCATCATGGCAGTGTGAGATGACAAGGCAAAAGCATTGCATGCAACATTATATAGCCTTTTTGGTAACGTAATAATTCATATCTCCAGCTGGTGTTCCCTGCCGTGTCCTGAATTGGATACCTTTTTATGGAAAAGATTGATTTATATTACATGCGTTTATGCAGCACTCAGCAGCAGACTTGTGATGCCTTAGAAGTTAAGTCAAAGTACATTTACAATGGGCAAATCTGAATGACATTCCTGTGAGCTAAGATAATCAAAATATACAGTGGATCATAATCAAAACAGGCGATACATGTGCGGGATTATAGGGTTACACTCAGGTGTCTTGATATATGGTCACATTGTGTTGCTTCAGTGAAGCAGAGCTACACAAAGGTTTGAACATTGCATGTGAGCAGAAGCACGTTTTTGCCCTAATATGAAACGTTAAAGCTAATGCCGTTACAGGATAGGGGTACCCACTGACACTGCAGCTGTTGGAATTGTTAAGAGATTTGAGGGTTTCGATCAGTAAATAAAATGTAGCACTGACTCAAGTGTCAGTTGTTTAGACGGTGTGTGATTTCAGGTGTGAAAAATATGAACTTTATTATCACCAATCAAGGCAACTCAACATCAATGGAATAACAAATGACCTTATAAAGGAACAGGTGCCATTCACACTTTGTTTTCAAACGAACAATCTCT